AGGTCCGTCACGTAGACGCTCATGTAGGCAAGAAACGGGCTAATGAAGAGCATCGTAACAACGAGCAGGCAGACCGAGCTGCCAGGATTAAAGTCTCTCAGGTAGATCTGGATTGGCAGCACAAAGGAGAATTATTTCTGGCTCGATGGGCCTATTATGCCTCCGGTCACCAGGGGAGAGATGCAACATACAGATGGGCTCGTGACCGAGGGGTGGACTTAACCAAGGACATTGTCTCACGGGTCGTCCATGACTGTGAGACATGTGCTGCAATCAAGCAGGCCAAGTGGGTGAAGCCTCTATGATATGGTGGACGGTGGTCGAAATACAGGTATGAGGAATCCTGTACATCACGCTCCCCCAAACCTGCCAAGGCAAGCACTACATACTGACCATGGGAGAAGGAAGTACTGGATGGTTGGAGACGTCCCCCGTGCCTGATGCCACTGCCCGGAATACCATCCTGGGCCTTGAAAAACAAGTCCTGTGGCGACACGGCACCCCGGAGAGAATTGAGTCTGATAATGGGACCCATTTCAAGAATGGCTTCATAGACACCTGGGCCAGAGAGCACGGCATTAAGTGGGTGTATCATATCCCCTACCATGCACCAGCTGCTGTAAAGTTGAGCAGTGCAGTGGACTACTGAAAACCACCTTGAAGGCACTGGGTGGGGAGACTTTCAAACACTGGGAGCTGCATTTAGCAAAGGCCACCTGGTTGGTCAACACCCAAGGCTCCTCCAGTCAAGCTGGCCCTGCCCAATCAGAACCCTTGCATACTGTAGATGGAGATAAAGTCCCCGTGGTGCATATGAGAGGTATGTTAGGAAAGACTGTTTGGATTAGTCCCACCTCAAGCAAAGGCAAACCCATCCGAGGGATTGTTTTTTGCTCAAGTACCTGGTTCCACCTGGTGGGTAATGCAAAAAGATGGGGAGACACGTTGTGTACCACAAGGGGACCTAATTTCGAATGAGAATGGTCTGTAATGTTTCACTGTATATATATATATATGTATGTAGTTTTTAAAGGGGGTTAATTTGGGCATGACATGGATGGCATAGAATAAGGGGTGGATAATGTCCTAGTTAGAACAGCTGGGACCAGTTCATCACTGTGTGGGTGTAACCCAAAACTGTATATTCTATACCCTGCCATGCCATTCCCCAGAAACTGTTAACAATGAACCATTTACAGCAGCTGCCCAGAGCACACCTGACCCCTCAGGCAATAAACTAGGTGTTAAGAGGCCTGTGAGATAGGAGGATGCTCCTGTCCTCACACCCATTGTGGAACTCCCCGCCCTGAGGGAGGTACTGGGCATTCCTGCCTGAACCTGAGGATACGTAATCTTGGAGTCTGGGACTTCTGTACCACTTGTGGGATCCAGGGAAGGACTGGAACTTGGACTAGACTGTGACCACCATCTCAACCAGACTGAGACCACTACTCTTGACCGGACTGCGACTACCACTCTCAACCAGACTGCAATCACCACTCTCAACCAGACCGCAACAGCACTCCCAACCGGACTGCGATCACCAGCCTTGACTGGACTGCAACCAGCACTCTCACCAACAGGTTTTCCCTCTCCTTTTACTTTTTGGACTCAGGGGGACCATGTGGGGCTCAGCGCGGGGAGGGGAGGCCCAACGAACACCACTCTGTTCATGCCCCAGGGTGGGGTGCTGGGTTATACATCTGGGTTTCGTGGGTTGCAACCAATTGTTTGTGTAATTGTATTTATTGTATTATTTTTATTAAATTGTTATTCTGATTTATAATCTCTTTTGAGTTAGGTTCATTTCCCTTGCTGGTTTACCTTTAAACGAGCACACTACGTGTTAGAAGATGCTGAGGAGCAGTGCAGTCATCAGTGCCTATAAAAAGACCTGGAGCTTGTGCCTAAATACCATGCTCTGTTTATTTTCTAGAACATTGATGGCATTTAGCATTTTGATTACAGAAATTTTTTTTTCTTTTTTTTTTTCTGAACACAGGACCTTGGTGATGGTTATCTTAGTAAAACACATTTCCAGGTAAGAAATAGACACATCGCACAAGATCTCAGGGAGAAAACCAATGATAACATTGAAGAAACGTTACTTGCACATGTTGAAGTAAGTACAGATTTTAGACTTATTTGTTTATAAAATAAATAATGAAATTTAAAAAGTACTATGCTAGTAAGTCCTTCCAAAAAGACTTCGAATCTCAAGTTACAGTGTTTTTTTATTAGTTTTCATACAGTTGTAGGATACTAATTAATACAACTTATTCAGATGTTTTTGTGTGTGTAGAAAAAGCTTAAGCATCAAGATTTAGTTATCTTAGGGGTAAAAATTAAAAGGACAATGAAAATAAAATTCTTTTGAAGTGCTATTTACTGCATATATATGTTGTGTATAAAACTTTTATATTCAGTGTATAGTTGTCTACTGTGGAACTAACTTAAAATATTGAGCAATTGTTTGAAACTGGTGGCAGGAAATAAAACAGATTTGGTGTTCTTGAAGGAGAATAAACTTCTTTCTTCCAGAAAATTAAAACTGTTCATTAAACTCTAGTTGGACTGATCTGAATAATTATTTGCTTGTTTGATTCTGCATTAAACCTCCAGGTTATTGACTAATCAGGATATAAATGATAGAAACTCCCTCCCTTGTTATGGTTTGTTACCATTAATATGAACATAAATCTTGGATTATAATTGACTGAAAACAATGTATTCTATATATTATAAAATGTTGAATAGATGGATGTGGTGTACTTTCCAGTTACCTTTTTCTGCAGTTCCTTTTCTCTTTTCATCAGCACTCTGATTTCTTTTTTTTTTCCTACAGAGACTGGTACATTTCAGGCATTTCTGGTCTGAAATGAGTATTCTTTTGGCCTGGTTTCTGAAGAAAATGGCACTTAAAACAGTCATACTGTCTGTTAGTCTTGATGTAGTTGTTTCTGCTGATTTTTGAGCTCACTCACAGGTTTCAGTTTGTACTGTAAAGAGAGGTACATGTGTAAGTCATCTAACAGACAGCTGAAGCATTTTTAAGTTTTCCTTTAATTTAAATTCTAGTATTTCTTAAAAAGAAGGCTGATGTCAATGCTTCAGGGGTTGTTTCTTAATTATCACTAACAACAGTGTTTGTATACTTCAGTCCTGACTTGTAAGAACAGATTACTCTTTGTATTCAAAATTGCTTTTGATGATTGTGACTTTTTTTTTTTTAATAATGAATCAGGTCTTCATTACAGAGTGCATTTTAAAAGAACATGCTGTAAAAAGCTGTTGAGTCCTTCTTCTGGAAAAGAAGGTGTCAGCTATAGAAAATGTCATAACACAAAAAAGACTTCAGAGCCTGTTAAATACTGAAATGGAGTCTTAAATATACTGAAATATAATACTAAACGATACACTGAAATAAGATTCCAGACCCAACTCTGTGATTTATCAAGATCTTGATATTAATAATTACCTCTTGAAATATTTTGAAAGATTTCTTTGTTTTGAACCATGGTAATCTGCGGGGTGGAAGGGCCCTCTTTGAGAACGAGCCTTTGTACTTGTCATGTAGCAGCTCTAAAGATGAAGAGTGAAGCAGGAGAAATGTCTCAGAAAATTGTGAAGGTTGTAAGACCATAAGAAAAAAAAAATTAGTTTCTTCTCCAAAACATTCACTGCCCTATATAGATGATGTCATTTGCATATTCTTCACTGAGCTGAGGGGTAAGCGGACTGTTAAAGTTATTTAATCTATCAAATGGGAAAATCACACCAATAAGTTGGAAAATGAAATTTGCTATGTATACATAAAGTAAAACTGTGTTTTTAAGAAAGATGGAAATGGTGACTGTAGGGGGGATAAATAATTTTCTCAAGCACAGTACTTCCTGTGTAAGATGCATGTTCTTTTTCACAGCTATTGAATGCTTGAGTCCTGTTCCACTATAACATTCTGTTATTTAAATAGGCTTTTTTTCTTTTTAATGCATGTTGCATGCATAAATAACATGGTATTATGGAATTACTGCAATTTATTTGATTGAGTTATTGAAATGATGTTCTGATGACTAGCCAAAGTTGTGGTCATGATAGAAATTGGAAAAGTTTCCTCTGGTTATGGGCATTCAATATTTAGCTTTTTCTTTTTTTCCTCAGAAGATTCATACATCTTATTGTTACATATTTGAAGCTTACAGAGGATCTAGATAATAATTTTAATTTATATTGGAAAAAAACATGGCCATTTTCTGATGTTTGCATGTTTCACAATTTTCAGTTCTAGAATTACTGTTATGATCTTGATTTTTCTATATTGTAGCTCTGTTGTTTGTGTCTTACTGGAATACTTCCATCTGTCTAATCTGATCTCCTCCAAGGTGTGGTGGCGGATATGATGCATAGTTTTAGGTAACATAATTAGCTAGAAACAGTAAGAAAGGAAAAACAAGGAAATGAAGATCTGAGTAATCAATATCCATTGTTAGAAACAGCCAGTGTTGACAAAAATCCAAGGAAAAAAATGTACTGTGGTATATTACATAGAGACCACAAGACGTTCCTCTCCTGATCCTGGGAATCCAGTTCAGAGGTTACCAATAGAATGTTAGATTTGGCAGATAAGGGGAAAATCAGAGGACAGATTTTTGAAGTTGGGTGGAATTTTGGGAAAGTTATCCACAGTGAGGATTTAACTCCTATGTAAATAATTGAATCCAAGACACCTCAGGGGGAAGGTGGTGTAGAATAAATCATCAAGTGTATCCTGTCATAGTGAGGAGTACAGTTAAGATGTTGAAACTGCAGAGAGGCAAAATTATTATTGTTCTGTTCATTTTTCATCTGTGAAGAGGTACTGAAACCTAATGATACAATACATAAAATACACAGAACAGCTGAAGTAGCTTTATTTGAATAGAAATTCCATTATAAGTTATCACAGGATCAAAAATGTGCTAATCTTTTGGGATCTACAGGAACCCTGATCAAATTATTTGAAAAGTTTATTCCAACTCATTGATCAGTGTGGACAGTTAGCATTTCCCAGTTTCCATGTCATTCTCTGGTATCTAAAGGTCTGGAGACTTCCTGGTGAAGGAGTGATGAATAAATGTGTTTTCCACAGAGCAGTCTGTATTGTGTGCTTGGTTCCATTGACACAAGTTATGTTTTCATTTGAAAACCAAGAATAAAATTCTATGTGGGTTCCATTCTGCTTATTTTAGATATCTGCAATATAGAGCTTGTCACTTAAAACTTTGTTTCAGCCTGAGGAGACAAAAAAGCATTTTTGGATATAAATCAGTCGACCTGTTTTGGGTGTCTTCTCTTGGAGAAGATGAGTGTCTGTTTTCCTTTGGGGATGATCGGGGGAGCTGGGTGGTTAACCAGAGTGTAAATGCCTGCATTTTGTCATGTGAGCCTCATACAACAAAATGTGGATCTCAGCTGAGTAAAAGCAGTGGTAATTTTTGCTGGTGATTTCATGGAGGCTGAGATTTTGCTTTGATGGTGAAGGTTATACTTAGTTGAGGATTGTATTTTGTAAAGTAGCAGCTCAAAAACAGTTTAAGGAAGTTTGTCTTTTTATACTTGGCAGTCACTGAGCTGTCAAGCTGGTTATCTAACCAGGTGCCTGAGGATCCTGTCTTAGACAGACCCTTCCTTTCCATTTCCTTTTCATCTTCCTAGAAAAGAACTGAGACTGTTCCTCTGGAACACCATTCTCTGCTTTTTTGTGGGTTTAGTTAAATCAATATATTTATTTTAACGTCCTGATTTGTAAACAGAAACTACTAATGATATGTGACTGATGATAAACGAACTTTAGACCAAGTTGGTGGATGTTCTTCTGACCACTAAGATCAGTCCCTTGAATACGAGCTGAAGAGTCATAAACCTTTTAGAGTCTCTTCCAATAGAATAAAAATAGCCTGAGATGCAAAGCGAGGGACAGACACAAAGACACAGTGCCATTTGAAGATTTTTAAGTTGCCATTTTGTCCTGGTTAAATTTTTATTGAATCAGTTGTTGTCTTTCTGAGCTGTCCTGACTTTGTGCCAGAGGAGTGTCATCTGTACTTTTCCACAGGCAGCATAAATCTTGTGTAACCACCATGCACAACCATCTTCAGTATGTATTCTTTTCTTGATCCAAATCAAATCTGTCCTGCCAGGGGATCTGTCAGGGTCTGTATCAGTGAAAAGGGGATTGTGTCATCTTCTATAGCAAGGACAGAACAGTTACATATACTATTGTGTGAGTTGCTGATAAGGTGACAAATAATGTGCAAAATTCAAAATGAGAATAGTCCTCCTGCCTCAGAGAGCTTAAAGAGTAAATTGGGAAAGTCTGGATTCACTTTATGCATTCTTTTTGTTTGTTGTTCAAATAGCCCAAGGGAAGCAATAACTTGGAGTAATAATTCTCAGTGTGTGGTTTGTCTTAGCTCTTCTGGGTATTGCAGAAGAAGTGAGTCAGCATGGAACCATTCCTGGAGCTGGAGCCATTGCCACTTTATGAAGGAGTGGGCAGGCTGGGAATGTTGAAGGTCTGTTGATACCTCGTGTTGCCTTTGGAACATGAGCACTGAACCCCAACGAACACGTTGATGAAGTTATGTATTTGCTAAACTTGGGCCCCAACGTTGCTGGAAGATGTTCATTAGAGTTGATGAAGATTTGCTCTATGAGGAATGTGGGAACAAGTCTGACTTCTTCTTTAAGCTTCATAGTACCATGGTTTGCTGTTCAGCTGTGCTTTTCAGTTCGTAACAACTAGAAAATTAAAATTCTTAGCAATTATTAATCATTTTTTTCTCTAAACAAGTTCAGTATTTTTAGAATTAAGAACTACTCCCTTTTTTTTTTTGTGCAAAAGTAAATAAGATGAACTCAGTGTAAACATTTGCAAAACCATGGTATTTATTGGATGGTTAAAACATGTGAAGTGAAAACCCAGCAAACAGTGCTTAAGGAGAAAAATGTTTAATAGAATCCAGCACTCACTGCAGGAAATAATGAAAGGACCTTAGCAAAGGGGGAAAATCAAGTATTACATACTTACCTAAAACATCAGTTTGTAGTGAATGACCCAAACTTAAGAGCAGTGGAGTTGCT